TGAGTTTGTTAATTGTTATTCACTTTCTTAAAGGGGAATATTTCTGTTTTTTATGTTATTTTTGCCTTTTTTTCTTCCATTTCAGTTAAGAAATTTATTGTATACAATGTAAATTTGATCTTTCTCTTAAGAATTTGGTTTGGATAAATTACTTTCTAGGATTTCTCTCTCTCTCTCTGCCTTTCTTTCTCTCGTTTTATATCTTTCCTTTGATTATCATTGTCTTTGAAAAGAATCAATTTCAAAGAGCTTGAGAAAAATAGGAAATTCCTTTAAAAATTTCATAAATCGCTATACAAGTAACAAAGTAATGGTTAAATTCTTGAAACAATTGACCATAATTAAGTACTCTTTCATTGTTTTCCTATTGATTTAATGTTATATTTGTAGTTTTTAAGAAATACATAACAAATAGAATAAAATTTTGATTATAAATACATTAAAATTGAAGGTAATCTCCTTGTTTTTACAGCCAATTAATTGTGAGTATTCTTTTGTCTCTTTCTTTTTGTTACTTGTAAAAATAAGGTCAGGGTTAAAAATGACATTTAATTCGCAACAAGAATTTCCCCATCTTCCTCTTTCTCTGCTTGGAAACGTATCATAAAGAGAAATAATCTGATTGAGCCCCAAGATGAATAAACATCCTCTGGCCTTTTATATATTCTCTGTTAGTATTATATAATCTCGGTTGCGTAACAGTAAGAGAAGACAGCGCAATTTTTAAATATACAGTATGCATTGGTCAAGGTTTTTCGGTTTCCTTTATGTTTAACTAATTGCGTGATAAAAGATGTAAAGAACAGAATTGAAAAAGTTTTGTATTATTTTTTAATAAAAGCTTTCAGTAGGAACTTTGACCGCTTGAAACGACTCTTTCATACGTCCTATAATAAACGAATAGCGTAAACCTTATGCGTGACCTGCTTAGGTAGACACCTATTGGGGAAGCGTCTTACAAAAGCGATTGACCGTGAAGAGGATGATAAATAAATATGTAAATAAACTCATGGTCGATTTATCTCCTTTAGACTAACTTTTAAAGAGTAAAAAAGAACTTAGCAACACTATAAAAAAATAATAAATATAATAAGGCGGAAAGGAATATATAATGCCCTAAAAAGGCAGAGAGATAGAGAGAAAGAGAGAGAAACGGGAATAGAAAAAAAACGGAAAAAACACTGGCGTCCCCTACTAATTATCTCGCAAAATTAATTTAATTTATTAAGTTATTAAGAAAATAAGGTAAGAGAACATGTAGGGTATTATAAATCTCATTAAGCGCTTAATTAAAAAGAAACGATTAAAGTGTTATTTTTATATTCTAGCATCAATTAGATCTGAAGTAGACAATAAAATGATAGTTGGCAAGTAGTTCGTCAATCAATAGCAATTTACGAACCCTACTATTATCATAATAGAAAAAAAATCATCTCTAGCCACCTCCTGTTTCTCTACACCCACTCAATAGTACCTCGTTCCCCCTTTTTTTTTCTTTGATATTGATTTAACCGGTTATCGAACCGACAAAGAAATTGTTTAAGCAAATAAATAAACTTAAAAGAAGAAAATGAAAAGGAAAAATCCAAAGAGGCCTCACGATTTAAAATAAATAACTTAGAATATACAAATAAATAACATACGACTTACCTCATTAACGAGATGTACAGTATAAGCAGCTGGCTGACCGGGGAGTGACCGGTGTACTTGAATTCTAGCGTTTCTACCTCCAGTCTGTAGTTGACACTTTTGATGCTGTTGTAGTAAATTTATATGAAGAATTAAAATAAATTAAAGAAAAACGTGGCGACAAATGAATTTTCCTATGGGAAAATGCAGCCACTTTTAAATGCTGTTAAGGATTATATTTAAAGTTAAAATACCAAAATATCTATATAACTTAAGAGTAAATATAAACTATTTATAAATAAACACCTTTCTTTATATATATTATATATTTATCTCTAAAATAACATATATACTAATATATATATATATAGGCCTGAATTTATTTTTAGACCATGCTTTCTAGCTTATTGTATACTTAAACGTCAATTAGTCAACAGAAAAGTAGGCTATAAATTTTCGATTTTTTTCCCTCCTATTTCATTAACCTTTGCTTATATACAGTAATGTTCTATATCAACTGCTTAGATAGAAATTGAAAAGAATTACAAGACTGAAAGTTTATATTTATATATGATATGAAGACTAACTGTAGCATTCTGCAATAGCATATTTTTGCCTAAGGATCAATACGTCGTCCTCGCCTTAGGCTAAGAGTGTAATATCTTCCCCCTTCAACAACCGTATTTCGATAGAGCATAGTTATCCTAATCTAATCTATAATCTATCAAATGATATATAGACACGGAATATGGAATAATATTTAAGTGATTTTTTGTATATCCCATTTCAAGAGCAAATAGAAAACTTAAAACTTTAACAATATTTACTAAAGAATATCAGCTTATAATTCTAGCGGCATACTTTAAAAGAGATTTTGATAATATCAATTGTTTGTTGGGCAAACAATATACCTTCTGAACCTCATTGTTCATTCAATTCCCAGGTCAAGTAAATCAAATACGGCTTCTTATTTAAGTGAAATTAATCTGCTATCTACGGGCATATTAACACGTACGATCGTGTTACGTTTCATCAATTAAGCAGATGGTCCCTTAGAAATTATTCTAAGAGGTAAAGAGACAAGTAAAAAGTACAGATGGATAGAAAATTGTACATAAAGCCTGGAAATGAGGTTATAAATTATCAAAATTTAATTCAAGCTATTCAAAACATTTTTTCAAACTTTTCGTATCGTAAAAATTAAAGAATAGTTTTTGAATCCCTCTTCAAATTGAAAGGGTACCTTTTTTTATAGACGGCATTAGAAGACAGGTGTGAAATGTTGACATTTATACTTTTCTCATTTTAAATTTCCATTTTTCGCCCAACAATCCCATTTTTAACACCTGCAGTAGACGCTACTTACTCTAGGACAATCGAATTGCACTAAGAAAAGCTTTGTAGTAGAAAGCTTTCAGTGGACGGCCAGTAGGCCTGGACTACCCTTTAACAAGCCCTTAGGGAACGGCCACCAGTAGGAGAGCGTTCTAAAATTAATTTAATTGAATAATAGGAAATTTTCCAAGCTTAAACGTAAATCAACTTAGGTTAAATCTGGTTCATAATAATTATGCAAATAAGATTGTCATTCGAATTTTATCTTTAAGATTAATTTACCATTCTCTCAATCAGATCTGTCATCATGACGGAGTAATCGTAAAGATCTTAATTTGACGAATATTTTACTTTTTTTGCATTGTTTCGTATTGCCTGAGGAGAGATTGCGTACCTTTATCCCTGTCAAGCTTGACATTTTCTCATGATAAGCCTTTTGTCTTTAAACAACAAATAGATTGCTTAAATTCTAGACTGCTGTTTGTTTTTAAAACAGAAAACTAAACCTATTTGCTAAAATTCATTGCTTAATATAAATAGTATAAATTACAGGGAAAAGGAAGGACGTGCACGAAAGAAAACACTTTGATAAATATTTATATTAATATTAACTTGACCATTTAGCACCTGCTCCACCAACATTCTACCTTTAATGAATTTAACGCTCAAAGCGATCTGTCGTGTCGCACTAAAGCTCATTTGCTGTATACTTGAGAAGCTACGTGCGTACGATGCAAATTTCAAGCATAAACAAAGAATAACTACAGAGAACAAGCGATATAGGGAAGAGAAATAGAGGTTCTTTTACGGCTATTAAAAGAATCTATATATTAGTATTAGTAAAGACAAACAATTACTCTCGTCTGCAGTGACAAACTGAGGCGGCTTGCTTGGTCATCGTTATTGTAAATAATTTAAGGCCAGCCTTTGTTTCGAATTAATAGATTCAGATTGATAATTATAATAGAATGGAATACAGCATCCGTTCCTGCTATTAAATACATTTTAAGGAGCATCAATGCAAGAAGTAACAAAAAAATAAAACTATATAGAATTACTTAATAATTAATATAAAAGAATAATTGACATTTTAAAATATATGGTGACTTCTCACGACCCAAATAGACATTCACCGTAGTAAATGTAAGGTTAGACTAGGATGTTTATAAATTACCTATCGATATATCCTAGATGAAAGTACTGAGTTCTTATTTGAAAAAAAAACGATAGCTAATGAAAAAATTGCTTTTGTATAGATTCAAAAGACACGTTAAGAGGGGACTGTCATCTAATGCGTAGCTTTGTTTAAAAAGAAGAGGAAGTACTAAAGTTTTCAATTACAAGCAACATAATATTTTAATAGATTGTATTTTTCATATATAATCACCTACTTATTCCTTTTTTCCCCCTATTTAAAAATCTGTTAACCCTATTGTCTATGAGTCGCTCAATCTAATCAATAAATTCCCTATTCTCTTGTTACTCTCATATTGTTTTGTTTATACTTTTAAGCTCATATTGGATTTTAAAATAGTTTCCCTCTCTCCTCGTATATTCCCTTTTAATTATATAGAAATAACATAAAACGCCTAATATTAATTCGTAATGAATAGTTTTCTAGTTATTCGTTTAGACAAAAAACAGTTTATTATATAATTCTTATTTATATTTGTCTAATCTGATCGGATAGAGGAGATGTTTTCATAAAAGATAAAGAAATTCATAGGCTATCTTTAACCTTTCATATTTTATAAACAAGTTGAAAAATCTTATAAAACTAAATGAAATAACATAAAATTTTCCTTTGATCGATCCGACAATTTTCTTAAAAAATTCTATTACAAAATTTGATTTTTATTTGAGTTAATTGAATAGAAAACGTCCCTGGCGTGCCTTACTTAGCTAAGACTTCAATCTTGTTCTGTAATTGGCATTCGACTATTACATAACCACTCTAATTAAAGCTATTGATTCACGATTCCCTTAAAATCCTAAAGCAAACTTCTTTTATTTTTGTAACTACTGCGCTATTTATACTATGTACATACATACACAAACACACCCGCATACGTACATACCTCTGAGAAGCTTTTGCTAGGCGTTGATTGCAGACTATTCTGATTATTTTCGTAAGTAACGGCCGTCGTTAAAGCCTTAATACTGCCACATCGCACCATTGGAAGATCTTTACATCTTTTATCATCTCTTTTCTCTTGTCTTTTTAAAGCAAAAATTGCCGCCAAAAGTGCTACGGCAATAAACGCTGTAGCGCAAGCAAGTCCTATAACTATAGTTAGATTTCCATCTGATTTCTTTTTAGTTTCTTTCCAGGGCAGGGAACTGTTGATAAATATATTCAAGAAAGCCGGAGTAGCGTGCTCCTCTATGAGACCTCCGTCTTTCACTTGAAAATCTAATCTTATAACTCTGTTGGCAATCGCAGTCAAATCCTTTGATACCCTAATCCTACCTGACATCGATTCCATTACGAAATATTCGCTAGCGGTTTCTAAGTGATATGTTAACGAGTCCCGTTCATCCAGGTCCCAAGCGATAACAGTACCAATGACTTTGCCAACTGGAGTGAAACTTGAAATGGAGATAGAGGCGTTTTCCGATTTTGGGAAGGTTATTTGAGGAGGATTATCGTTTATATCCTCTATATCTACAGTAACTTCTATCTCCGAACTTAGGAGAGTATTACGTATGTCAGTCGCTACGGCAATAAATCTATGCGACTTTTTATCCTCTCTATCCAGTCTCGTTGTCGTTAAAATTCTTCCAGAATCTGCTTCTATTCTGAAAAAATCTGTTCCTCTTAAGGAATAAGTAAAGTCGTTGAAGTCATCACTATCAGGGTCAACAGCTTCAACCTGACCAGCAAGTGTACCAGATTGCTCTTCTTCTTGGACTTTGAAATTGTAAAAGTCGCTTAAGAATGATGGACTATTATCATTTTCATCCAAAATAGTTAATTGTAGAGTAGCAAACGCACTATTTGACTTTTTACCCAAATCGTACGCTTCAACCTGCGTCTCCAAAAACGGTAACTTTTCCCTGTCGAAACTTTCAGCTGCTTGTATAGTACCTTTAATAGAATTTATAGTCAAATGTTGATAGATAGCTTTATCTGGAAATCTATAGCGAACTTCTCCATTAGTTCGATCATCTTTATCCGTTGCATTTACGGTAGTAATATATTTTCCAATAATATTATTCTCACCAATTGTCTGCTTATAGACGGTTTGTCTGAAAACTGGTGATAAATCATTTTCGTCCATTATTATTATCTCCAAGTTTTTCTCTGATGTTTTCTTCGGTGTACCCATATCTGAGCATTGGATTGAAACAACATAGAAATCTCTACTTTCTCTGTCAATATTTAACTTGGTAACAAGTTTGTATCTCCCCTCCGAGAATGACGTCATTGCAAAAGTCCTCGAGCTATCAATTAGAAGGCATTTGAATTTGCCACCCTCTCCAGTATCTGCATCGGTAACTGTAATAAATGCAATAAATGATTCCATAGCTATATTTTCAAGGACATAGGCCTTGGTCGTATCCTCCTCGGTTAAGGTATTGACAATTATTTCAGGAGAGTGATCATTTTCATCTGAGACCTTAATATACACTGTAGCCTGTACCGTTTGAGAATCAGCTCCTTTATCTCGAGCTGTAATATCTAATTGATAATAGTTTCTGGTTTCGTAATCCAAAGCTTGTTTGGCATGAATTTCCCCAGTTTCTCTACCTAGCGAAAAGATATTTGAGTATTGCTGCTTAGTCCTTGGGGAAAAGTCGTAGATCACGTGACCATTATCTCCTTGATCTTTATCAACAGCTGAGACCGTTAATAGCGGCTCAATTCTTAGATCATTCTCTTTAACTGTAACTGTATAAGACAATTTAGTGAACACTGGTGAATTGTCGTTGCTATCTAGCACCCTTAGAAGAATTTGCAGGTCACTACTCTTTCCTCCACCATCTGTTGCTCGTAGTATGATTCTGTGAACTTCTGTATCTTCTCTATCCAATTTCCTCTTTAATAACAGTTTCACATCTCCGGAACCGATCGGTTGCCGAAGATCGAACAAGTCACGTCCCTTCTGAATAGAGTACGTGACCACTCCAAAGCGATTAGCTGGGGAATCATCGTCAATAGCTGGATTAATGCTAAGAGTTGCGTTAATGTCTGCTGATTCGCGCAATTCCTTATTTAGGTGACTGGTATCCCATCTGGGTGTCGAATCATTAATATCATCAACAACTATTTGAACTTTAACAATTATAACATCCGTTTGAGGGGAAGATACTGCTATATCAATAATAATGGTACAATTTTTGATCCTGGCGCAAAAGTTTTCTCTGTCAACCCTCTGCGAAGTTTCTACGACGCCCGCCTCATCAATACGGACTATATCGGTTTTTGGTTTTCCCAGAATTTTAAAGTTTAAATTTGCAAGTATTTGAGGCGTGTAAGAGGAGTGGAGATTTGCGTCTGGTACAATGCTTCCAATAAAATGTCCTTCAGGCGTTTCGTCAATGACTTTATAGTTGAGAACCTTAACGGTATCAGCAAGAATTTGAGGTAAAAATAGTACTATCAGGAGCCGTCTCTCCATAGCGCCCTGTGAAAATGACATCGAATTAATATTCAGTCAATTTGATCTGGCGGTTGGGCACCTGACTAATAAGACCTAATGTCGTTATTCAACTCACTTCACTGTTATTTCTGTTTTACGGTAGCAACTGTGAGGTGGTACTTTGATATTTCAATATCTATGTTTATTATCTGTATGGATATTTCGTTGCAAGATTTACTCTTTAAGTCAAGATTTGAAGAATCTCATTTCTATAAAACTATAAAGAATTTATAGAAGAAAGCCTTAAATAAATCTATATTTCATTCACATCTCATTACGTCATCTAAGCTAGCTCATCGGCCAGAATAAAAATTTAATAAATAAGTCATGCGCTCTCTCTCTCTCTTTCCTTGCTATTTTTTTTCATTATATAGTCTTTTCTTTTATATTGAAAAGTAAACCATTTTACAGAGAAAAAGAATTTGATATTCTCATCCTTCTATTCCTTTTCTATAGTTTGCTTTGTCTAAACTTTTCTTCTTTATAGCTATATTCCCCATTCTTCAACTGACTTCTATTCGAAATAACTTTGAATTTATTCCTGCTTTAGATTAATTGCGTTATTATCACGGGATTGTTTATCTACGCAGCTGTCTTACGCTAACAGCTGTCCAATCACTGACCAGAACGTTCACGAGAAATGCTCGTTAATTTTAATTACGTTCGGAATTAACGACATTCCTCTTGATAGAGCAATTAATCCAGGTTCCGGCATGCTTTTTTAACGCTGTTTGTCAATAATCTTTCTAAAAAGCTTTTTAGAAAATACTTCAAAAGTAGCTTTTGAGGTTTCGTGTGTAACTATAAGCTTAGAGGATGAGTGAATTTTTTTCGTTAGTCTAAAGGCTAAATGCTTTTGGGTTATTAAACATTTTTCTTTTCAAAAGGTGTCTTAACAGTTAAACAGGCTAAGTTATTTAAACTTTCCACAATGACAATCCTCAATTAGAAACATAGCGTCATATTTAGTACAATTAGTATATTTTTAATCGTCCTATTCATCTGATAACTTAGCGTAGAGTGCCTGTGTCTATATACAAGTACATGCATATCTATTTCTATTAATAAGAACTATATACAAGTTGGCAAGCGATAAGAACCCGCATTACACAAGTACTCTTTGTAAACATTTTTAAAGTTGGGGTAGATAGATACATGCATACTAATACACCTGGTTTTGTATAAATATATATACATATTATATTTATAGGATGCTTACAGACTTGATATGAATGGATTATTAAACATTTGTATTAGATTTATAAAGAGACGCTTTTTTATTAATAAACTAAAAAAATGGTATGGTTAAATAGTCGATTAAGCAAGCCTTTTACGTAACAGATACGTTTCTTTTATATATAACAAAAAAAGAGTTTCCTCTTTCATCAAAAAAACTATTTTAACAATTATAAATAAAGTCTGATTACAATTCGTATAGAACGAAAAAAGCCTTTTCTACTACCAAGCCAATACTATAATGTTGAACAACTCTTTTGTTACATAATTGACCGATCAACTTATAAACATACCACTTTCAGGAAGTTTTATATATTATGCATAAATTCCAGAGGCCTTTTTATTCATTGTTACTTTAAATAAAATATTCATAAATTGTATAGTTTGTAACTTGTTGAAAACCCTCGATTGTCGTAAATATATAGTTGGTCAAAGATAACCTAGGTCAGAAACGTACCAATTTACCTTGTACTTTTGCGTTAATAAGCTATTATTATTTATATAATAAATATATATATATATATATATATATATATATATATATATATTAGTATATACAATATAGAGACGAATTAATATAGGCAAATGATCCATTACTTCTTCTTTTATCCAATAAATTTAAACGTTTTATAGAAGGAAAGACATTTACTAGACAACTAATTATTATGTCAAACATTCTTGCGCAGAAAAGATAGGACAACAGTTTCACTAAGGCAACGTGTTATACTTTTTCTTAGTAAAAAGTAAATTAGTCAATCTATGCCCTTGCTATGTAAATATAGATTATTTTATTAACCTTAAAGGTCTATATTATCTAATACAAAAATTAACTATCGTCTTTTATTTCCAATCGAATTTCTTAAAATGGTATTTAGGACGAGGATGAGAATAATGACTAAATTTATAAGCTCTATAAAGGAAAATCGTATCATTTTCTAAGATCATAAAACTCTCATAAATAGTTTTTTCCCTTTCTGATACGATAGAATAAAATATTAAAACATAAAAAAGAGAAAATACGACTAACAGACTTTACAGTTTAGGTAGCCTCTTTTTTTCATTTAAGTTATATATTCTTATAATTTTCAAACATCTGCGCAAATGTTTTATTCATGATATTTTTTTATTCAAGAGTTGTACTTGTCTATCTATGTATGTGCGTCTATGTGTGAAAGGAAGAAAGAAATAAAGAGAGCATAGAGAGGGAGAGATAAAGGAAGAGACAGAGGTATATATGTATATATTAGTATATACAGTATATCAGTATATACAGAGGGAGAAAAAAATGAAATAAAATTTTATTTGAATTAAACCCGTTCAAAAACAGAAATTAACACTTTCTGAGTTATTGAAGTCCCCCTAACCCTATTAATCTATTGAATTTTCATCCAAGTTGCAATCTTACCTTAATCTCGTAATATCTAAACCTTTTTAAATGTAGTTTAAGAGCTTAATTAATGATTTATTTCCTAAATTAATCTGTTTAAAAGAAAAATCCCTTAAATGCTAATTACTTTTTTTATTTAGGTGGAAAAAAACTGATTTATTATAAATCAGAAGTTTAATTAAGTTAAATAGCTTTGAATGTGATTCTTATTTTTTCCGACTCTATCTGTCAATCTATTCTTCTTATCCTTTTATTTTACTTTTACTGCTTTTACGGAATTTTGAACCACTTTGTTACTTTTCTATTATTTAAATTACATGACTTTTTCTCTTTTCTGTCAATTTCGTAACTTTTTACTTTTAGAATAAAATGTATTCAATTTTTTCTTTTATTCTTTATCCAAAGTTCAAATTAAGTTTATAAAAACAATAATTATTATAGAAATAAAAGAGAAATATGCGATTTTGTTTTTTTCTTTACCTTTTCAACCTACTAAATCGAAGATTAATTGAAAAGTTTTCATAGAAAAAGAACAATATTTAATTGGTTATAATTTAACTTGTACAAATAAAACTTAAAAAGTGATAATTTCGCTTTTATCCTAAATATTTCCTCTAAATGTTTTTTACCTTTATTTTTAATATAGAAACAAAAAATTCCTTTTATTTTTATATGACAAAGCGTGTCACATTATTTAGAAAGGGCTAACAAAAAAGCGTCTAATTGAACAGAAACATAAAAACGGAACTACCATTCAATGTTTTGGCAAATTTCCATGTTTTACAACCCATTCATGATCATCCTCTTCTCTCGCATTTTTTTAAGTAGATCATTATAAAAGATGTTCGAGTTATTTGTAAAAGGTCGTTGAAAAGAATCTAATTGGTGCCTTTAGTCAAAAAGCCGTGAAATACGTGCGTGTAACGGACGTTACTTTTAGACGGTCGACTGAACTATTCCTCAATCTTATCGATTCACCACTAAAACCTTTCTGTTTACACTTAAAACACAGTTCAGTAAATTTTTACTTTTACTAATTAAAATTAGTCGACAATGGGAACAGGTTCCGAAGAGTAATCAATAGATAAATTGAAGACATGCGCAATGGGAATATGGAACCTTAAAGTCATTATTAATATTTCATATCCAATGTTTTATTGTATGCAAATATAAACATCGATATTAGTAGTAAAAATCTTTTCTTTTTGATTTTATTTTACAAGATCATTTAGCCAATTAAAGTTCTAGGATTTAACAAATCTATCCTGGTATTTTTCTGGGATTTTCCCTTCAGATTGTAAATATTTAATCGAATTTCTTGAGAAACTCTTTAAACTTTTTCTGAGATTTTATGTCTTTGCTCTTATAATTAAAACAAGTAAGCAGCAAATGAGAAGAACAGAGCAGAGAAAAGATGATATAGGTGAAAGGAGAAAGGTAGACAGACAGAGAGAGAGAGAGAGAGGGGGGGAGGAAAGTAAAAGAAGTTTTACATTGATATTGTTGAGGAATAGAAAAAATTCTACTTCTCCATGTCCAATAGAATAATTGGAAACACGGTTGGAATACACAAAAAAAATAATAGAAGACAGTCTAGCATTGCATACGTCGGCTTTCTAATAAGACGTCTACTATTGTTCATCCTACCACTATTATTATGAATAGGCCTAGAGGATGGAATAAAAAACATTAAGAAAACTAAAAAAAATGTTTATTTACACACTGCCAACACGCCATAAATTTTCAAGGATTCGCCATTATAATGATCAATATCGAATACAATCTTACCTCGACCGTGAGCGGAATCCACAAACTCGTAGTATAACCTAAATTCTCATTTAAGTATTATTCTCCGCAAGATTTTTCTCTTTTTCATCCCTTTTTATTTTCCAGTGGAAGAAATATAAAAAGAAAATTCCTCTCAAACAAAACGAAGAAGAAATACACTATCACGAAAAACTTCTGTAAATGTATTTTAAAGATCAAAGCCGAAATGCGAACTGATGTTAAAGCCGTATTGGGAATCTACCTGATAGGTGGCGCTGGCTTAGTCGTACGTCGACCAATCAGCTCGATTACAATTGTCTTGCTAATTACGCGTGAAGAGAGGGTAGGAGTAATTAGTTAGGGATTAAGGAATTTTAGGTGAAAAAGCTGATTAACAGTGTAAAAAAAAGCGAAAATCCTTAGTTTTTTGTATATGTTTAGAATATTTTGGCGGTAGTGGTCTGGAAAGTTAGTGTAAATATATAAAATTGCAAGGTAGCCTTCTGTCAAAAAAACTACATTCGGAGCTAATCAAAACTATCGATGACCTTTTAAAAGGTTCTTAGTAAATGAAAACACGTTCTAAACCAAGTTTAATAAAGAATTTATAA